AATTAATAGTAATTAATTACTATTTTATTAACTACTATTATAACTATTGCTATGATTACTACTAATTAGTTTTAATTGATCCTCTCCACACGGGCCATTGCATTTGATAGCACTGCTAACAATCTGATGAAATGAACGAAGCAGGTACTTCAGTAGTCCCATTGGACAGATGGAAATAGTGAGGCACAGAGAAGTGAGGTGACCCGGGTGAGGTGGCCCAGTCTGCTATGGCTGTAGGACCTGTTCTCCACCTCAATGTCACAATGCCCCCCTGAGATGGGACCCAGTGGGGGATGGAGCTGCTGCTTTTTTTGTTTGGGGGCCTTGATTTGATTTAATATCCGCCTCTCGTGGGTGCAAGTGATGTTGAACTCACCCCTCCACAGAATTCTTGTTTTGTTTTGTTTTTTGAGATGGGGTATCACTGTCACCCAGGCTGGAGTGCCGTGGCGCAATCTCAGCTCACCGAAACCTCTGCCTCCTGGGCTCAAGCAATTCTCATGCCTCAGCCTCCCGAGTAGCTGGGACCACAGGTGCGAGCCACCACCCCCAGCTAATTTTTGTATTTTTAATACAGATGGGGTTTTACCATATTGGCCAGGCTGGTCTCAAACTCCTGACCTCAAGTGATCCACCTGCCTTGGCCTCCCAAAGTGCTAGGAGTACAGGCGTGACCCCCCAGTGTCTGTCCCTTCCCTGGTCTGTGAGCTTATGAGGACTTGGGTTATTTCTCTCGCCCCTGCACCTGGCTTGCTGCCTGGTACATTATAGACACTCAATCCACTTTTCAACTCAAGTTCTGCCTCTTTGGAAGGAAGTAGGAAAGGAGGATGAGGGAAAGGCAGGTGAAAGAGGTGAGTGGGACACCTTCCAAAGGAGAAGTCGAATGACTCAGAGATGGAAAACCGAAGGTGGTGTCGGCCCCTGTTCTGGGCTGCACGAACCATCTCGACAAATACTAGAGTGAGCCGTTCCAGGAGCCGGCATTTAACAGCCACAGCCTTATATGGGAGCATGCAGACAGCCCCAAAATTTCCTTGATTTCTCCCAAATTTTCTCCACTAGTGGTATCCACATTTTTTTTCTGCTTTTATATTAAGAAATTCTTGTGAAGCTGCACATCCATTTAATAACCATGTGACATTTGACAGATGACTCACTATCCCAAACCTCAGCTTTCTAATCTGTATAGTGAGGCAATGATCCCTCACAGACTTTTAAGAATTAAACGTGTGTGTGTGTGTATATAAATATATGTATATGTATATATATGTGCGTGTGTGTGTGTGTGTACATGAGGTATGCACAGAAGTACACATACTGCTGAAATCAAATTGATGGGCTACCTGAAAGTGCAGAAAAACATTAAATTATGCACTTTTTTGCAGTTTGCGATTTTCCTTCCATAAATATTTTTCTGAAATGCTCTTTTTAAATTTCAATAGTTTTGGGGGTACAGGTGGTTTTTGGTTACACGGGTTAAGTTCTTTAGTGGTGATTTCTGAGTTTTAGTGCACCCATCACCTGAGCAGTGTACCTTGTACTCAATATGTAGTCTTTTATCCCTCACCACCCCCTCCCAACCTTCTCCCCTGAGTCCCCAAAGTCCATTATATCATTCTTATACCTGTGCTCACAGCTTAGCTCCCACTTACGAGCAAGAACATACAATATTTGGTTTTCCATTCCTGAGTTACTTTAGTTAGAATAATGGCCTCTACCTCCATCCAAATTGCTGCAAAGGACATTATTCCATTCCTTTTTACGGCTAAGCAGTATTCCATGGTGTATATATACCACATTTTCTTTATTGACTCATTGTTTGATGGGCACTTAGGTTGGTTCCATATCTTCGGAATTACGAATTGTGCTGCTATAAACATGGGCGTGTATATGTCTTTTTCGTATAATGACTTCTTTTCCTCTGGGTGGATACCCCATAGTGGGATTGCTGGATCAAATGGTAGCTCTACTTTTAGTTCTTTAAGGAATGTCCATACTGTTTTCCATAGTGGTTGTAGACATTTACATTCCCATCAGCAGTGTAAAAGTGTTCCCTTTTCACCACATCCACGCCAACATCTATTTTTTTTTTTGACTTTTTAATTATGGCCATCTTGCAGGAGTAAGGTGGAATCTTATTGTGGTTTTCATTTACATTTCCCTGATGATTAGTGATGTTGAGCAAATGCTCTTTTTTTTAACATCCTCTGTTGTTCTGCTCTTCTACCAGCATCTAGATCTGGCTAGAATGACATTTAGCACAGACTTGGGTATATATTATTTTAAGTGAAATTGATTGACAGCATGACTTCCAACAGTTTGGCTTTCTCAGGCAACCACAGATCCAGTGCAGTCTCCTGTTGCCCATTGTACAGGTGGGTACACTGAGAACCAGAGGAAGGGATGGCTTCTCCAGCCACCAGGTGCATTATGGGTCACATATGTCTGGTACCCAGACCACAGGCCCAGGCCCTCAGACTTCCCAGAGCTTGGGAGTGGGGTGGGGTTGGATGGATAGGCTGCCTGCTCCCAGGCTGCACCTGGGAGGTGAGACAGGGCCATGTGAACATCTATGCCAGGTGGCTGGTATTCTACAGCAGTGCCAGCGTGCCCACAGCCATTCCTGTCCTGCCCCAGGGAAGGAATCTGGGGTGAAAGATTCTGCTCAAAGAAGATCACAGGGATCAGGGCTGTGGAGCTGGGAGGGGATGGCGTGTGTCACTCTGGTTTCTGGTGCACTCACCTTTATGAAGTTTACTGGGTGCCAAACACTCAGGTCTTAGCAGGCCAGGCCCTCATCAGTGAATCTACAGAGCACCCTGGGTGTACCTAGCACAATGCCCCTTGCTATTTGGGATGGGAGAGAAAAAGTAGGCCTGAGCTTTCCCAAGGGGTGAGGAAGGGAACTCCCAGACGCTTTGCTCTCTGAGTGAGACACTTGGCAGGGCCAATTAGCTAGGCTGATCCTGGGAAAGGGGTGGAGGTGGCAGAGGCAGGCTCAGCAGGTCATTGGGCAGAAGTCCACCCAGTTTGTAGACAAGGCTTGAGGGGCTGGGGAGCCTAGAGGAACGCACTTGGAACCTGGAGGCTGCAGGACCAGGACGGAAAGAGGACTAGGAGGCTGGGATCATCAACACCTGGGGAAGGCCAAGGAAGACCGACCTGAGGGGAAAGGAGGAACTGGGGAGGTGAGGTTAGTCCAAGGGGGAGTGTGTGTGTGTGTGTCTGTGTGTGTGTGTGTGTGTGTGTGTGTGTGTGTGTGTGTTGTCTGCCTGTTTCTCTGTCTTAGAGAAGAGAACCAAGGGCCAAGGTGATCACTCAGATAGACATTTTTCATCCTTCTCATGCCTAGCTCTAGGGATGAATTACCAGTCTTGCCAAGAGTTCCATGGGTCCATGCTGGCTGCCAAGATACTGTGGCCGTGCTTTCATTTATCATCTACCAGAAAGCTATCCATGGAACAAGGGATTCAGAACCAGAAGATCTGATTTTTGAGTCCTGAATCTGCTAACTGTCCAGCTATAGGAAACTCAGTTTTCTCATGTGTAAAAATGGGTCTAGCGGCACCTAAACTTACAAAGTTGGTGTGAAAAATACATAATGTCTATGAATAACCATATCTACTAATATGTGTCTGGAAGTACCCTGTTCTGCAAAGACAAAAACAAAGAAGAAAATAAGATGAGGAAAATCAAAGCTGGCCCCACCCACAATGTGTCAATGCATATTTACCCCAATTTTTTACCTTTTTGCTAATTGAGAAACACATGTGGTTACTTATTGATAAGAACATTAGCTCTCTATCTTGTACACGTGTTCCGATTTGTGATTCCAAATTTTACATATTCTGTAGAGTTTTAACACATTGCATAAAGATGGTATACCCATATTTGCCATCTTTTCTTTTCTTTTGTTTCTTTCTTTTTTTTTTTTTTTCTTTTTTTGAGATGGAGTCTTGCTCTGTCACCCAGGCTGGAGTGCAGTGGCATGATCTTGGCTCTCTGCAAGTTCCTTTTCCTGGGTTCACGCCATTCTCCTGCCTGAGACCTCCAAGTAGATGGAGTAGGTGGCGCCCGCCACCACGCCTGGCTAATTTTTTGTATTTTTAGTAGAGACAGGGTTTCACCGTGTTAGCCAGGATGGTCTCGATCTCCTGACTTCATGATCTGCCGGCCTCGGCCTCCAAAAGTGGTTGTTTCCACTTTAGGTCTATTACATAAAGCTGCTATGGACATTGCAGTACACATCTTTGTAAACCCAGAAGCACTCATTTCTGTTGGGCATATACCCTGAGGTACAATGAATGGGTCAAAGGGTAAGCGTATGTTTACCTTTTATAGATCCTGCCAAGCAATTTTCCAACCAACACATTGGTGTCGGTTTGCACACCCACCCGCAGTGTAAGAGAGTTCCACTTGCTCCACGTCTTGGTGTTGCCAGTCTTTTTAATCTGAGCTATTCTAGTGGGTGTGTAGTGAGTTCTTCCTGTAGTTTTGTTTTGCATATTTCTGATGATTAATGATGTTGAGCACCTTTTCAGATGCTTATTGGCCATTTGGATATCTTCTTTTGTGATCTATTTGTTCATGTCTTTGCTTAGTTTTTAAGTTGTTGTCTTTTTTCAGTCGATTTGTAGAAGTGCTTAAAAACAGGCGTGAGCCTTTTATCAGACACAGACATTACACATACCACTCGAAGCCTGTGACTTGCCTTTGTACTCTCTTAGGTACTTTTAGAGGAACAAGGCTCTTAATGTTAATGAACTTCCATTTATCATTTTTAAAAAATGGTTAATACTTTCTGCCTATCTCGTGGTCACGAAGATCTTCTGCTATCATTTGATACAAATTCTAGAAGAAAATATATTAATATTTGTGGGTTTTGAGGTTGAAAAATATTAAAGACCAATAGTTTCATATAGTTCAATCTAATACCTTTCACATTTAGGTCTGTGACTTCTCAAATTAATTTTTGTGTGTTGAGTAAAATGGTCACTGTTTATTTTTTTCCTGTATGGACATCCACCGGTTTTTTGTTTGTTTGCTTTGTTTTGTTTTCACCACTCATTGAAAGGATCATCCTTTCCTTTGAATTGCAGCGATGCCCTTGTCACATATCAGGTGACTTGCTGTGTGGCTCTTTTGGATTCTCTAGTCCATTCCATTGGTCAACTTGTCTGTCTCTGTGCCAATAACTTAATGCTGTAGCTTTATAGCTATCTTGATACCTGGTGGCTGAATGCTTTAAAAGACCTGGGAATCATCAGGTGGGAATCACTTGCTTTGGAGTGGGATTCTCAACCTCTAGTACTTATTAAATTCCCTGGAGAGAAGTTCTTAAAAGTACCCTCACCCAGGATTTATCCCGCCTCAAATAACTCAAAATATCTAGAGGAATGTTCTGAAAATAGGTATTTTTAAAGCTCCTAGATGATTCTAATGCACTCCCAGGATGGAAACAACTGCTTTAGAAATAGGTTATTCTCATTTTACCATTAAAGAACCAGAAGCCCAAAGTCACATTTACAATTTCTGGAGGCATTAGATTGTTCACTCACTTTCTCCAGGATGCAAAATCCTTGATATACTTCTCTTGCCCTCAGTTTTCTCCTAGAGAACATCTACTTACCCTTCAAAACCCAGCTTAAGAGTGCCCCATCTACGATGCAATCCAGAGCACCCCAGCTAGGATCAGGTGCCTCCTGCATGTTCTCACCTCCCAAACTTACCTCTACCTTGGCCCTTACCTAGTGTGACTTGTATCTCTGTGTTCTCCTGTGTTCCCATCAGACCAGAGCTCTTGGAGTTAGAATGTGGCATGGTCATTAACATGTTTCTGGCATCTGGGAGATTCAAAGAATGAGGGTGAGGACTAGAAATTCCTAGCTCCCCTCTCACCGCTACACAAGGTAATAATGTAAAAAATATTCATGCCACCCCTCAGCCTCCAGCCAGTGTCTTGGGCCCATTAACTTATAACAATAATCTCCCCAGGCTGGACAATCCCCTTCATCCTCCTAGCCCCCGATGAACACCAGGCATAAATCCATGGGACCTGAATCTTAACTACAGGCAGTCAGGGCAGCCTCAAGTCTAGGCTGAGGTCCCTTAATGGGCACGTGGAGGGGGCTGCTCCTTCCCATGCCTATCTCCTTCCCTGCTCTCCACAGACACGCACCTCCTCCAGGGCTCTTTTTCCCAGGCAGGATGGGCCCACCAAGGTATAGCGCCTGGCTGGCCTGCAGCCCACCTGTGGCTACCCTCTTCCCGTGGCCTACTGGCCTTTGGCACTGTCTGAATTCAGGCATCCCCAGTGCTGCTCACGTCACTCAGTGGGCATCCCCACCCTGGCCTCTCCCTGCATGTCTCCCGTGGGAATTTGCCCTGGAGCAGAGTGTGTCTGGGGCAGGCAGGGAGGCATGGCCCTCAGACTCACACAGGCCTCACCCTGTCATTAGAGGGCAAGGTTTTCCCTCCCAAACCAGGGGTACAGACCTGGATTCTGGGTCAGTGTCCAGCTTGCTGGCTCTGATCCTCCACCACTATAGACTCTACAGTAACAATAGGACCACCTGCACTCTTTGGTCTCAACCTGTCCTTCTATCTCCTCTGCAGCCCGTTGGTGACCAGAGCTGGCCAGTGTGAAGTCTCTTGTCTCGCCGTTCACATGGTGTCTCTGACCCACGCATCCCAGCAGGCAGGCCTTGCTCCCTGGGCGAGGGAAGGTGGTGGCTCAGGGGCTTCTTCGGGGGTACTCTCTGATCTGGGCAGCTCCGGAACCCACATCCCCATAGCCTTGTTTGTCTAGGCCCTGAGTGCATAGAGTTTGTGGCTGAACCAGGCCTGGGAATGAACTAGTGTTGCCTCTTTCCAAGAAAGTTTCTCTGGGTCGCCTGCTCTGAATAGCGCTGGGAATGAGAGTCATGTCTTTGCCAAAAGCAGCAACCCAAAGGAAGGAAAAACACCACCCACGGCTCTTCTGAGGCCTCTGAGGTGCTTCGGTCAGATATGACCTACTGTGAAGCACCACTAAATGGGGAAGAAATACATGAATGTTTTTTCTGCTCACTGGAGCTCACTAGATAAAGCAGAATTGAAGATAGGCATGTTGAACTTATTGCTCTTCCATCCCAGGATCAGTGGGTTTGGAAGGTTCCCCGACATCATCAATGCTTTTCTCTCCAAGAGATAAAACTGAAGATAAGAATTTTATTTTATTTTAAGCCTTTGAAAAATTAATCCTAAAGTAGTATCTGTTTTTTAAAGACAATTTGGAAAATATAGAAAAGTAAGGGGGAAGCAGAGACAACAGAGCCCAGCCATAGTCTCATCACTCCAGCACAATAAATATACAACAGGAAAACAATTTGTAATTTCCATGATCATGAACTTTGAGGTGAATTTTTAATTCCTGTTCTTCCTAATGGAACTTATGAATTTAGTTGTCTATTTGTCTCTCCTCGAACTTTTTCCCCAAAGGACTCCATGTGAGCTAAGGTAACAGAGGTGACAATTTGGAACACATGAAAAAATAGCAAAAGAAAATGGTGAGGGATATATGGGAATGACCCCAAGAAACCCAGTTATCAACCTGTTCCTATGGTCAGCAATGATGATATTTGGGTTGAATATTCAGTATTAGGACTCCAGGCTCATCTACTTGTAGACTATTCTGACTTCTATACCCAGAGAGAGATTGGGAAATAGAGTCGTTGCAAAAGGTGTCTACTGGAGTTCATTAGGGAAGCCACAGCCCAGTGGGCGTGGCCGGTACAATATCATGCTGCTGCCTCCACGGGTGAGGAGAACTCCTGGGGAGGTGGTGTGGCCATCCCAAAGCCTCCATCACCTGCCCACTCACGCCAGCTCATTTTATTGACCTTAGTCTTCCAAGAGACCATGGAAGTATAAATAATAAAGCAAGAAAGGCAGATGCATTTGGCTGGCTCAGTGGACTTCTGAATGTACTGTGAGTATAAGACCTTCCCTTTCAAAAGACCGAGTGCTTCTTGTCTATTCCACGTGAAGCTTTCTTCAGATTGAGGGAGGATATAGCACTATCCACAGGAGGGGGTATGAAAGGAAAATTCTAGAGGATCTCCAAAATCCAGGTAAACCCCTCTTGAGGAATTTGTTGAACGTCTTTGGCAGAGTGTTATGGATGTCTACTGCCAAGGACTTTTCTAGAGAAAAAAGCTTCATGAATGTGGGGATGGGAGAGGTCTTGGGACATAAGTGGTGCCTCCAACTTGGGTCCACCCTTGCTGCATGATGCTGGCCATAGTCAGCCTTGTATGTGAGCTGTTTGGGAATCTTTCTCTCTCTCTGAGGACAGAGGCTAGATCTATCAACTCACTGATTAGTGGAGAAAGTGAGGCCAAGGAGCCTGTTCAATGCATTTCTGCAGAATTGCCTTCACCAGCTGGATTCTCACCACTGATGCACATTGCAACCATGATGTCTTCCTTTGTCCACTCTGAGCCTCATTTCCCTCTTTATGGTACAGATAATCCTGAAGTCGATGATCTCTCAGCCTTTCCAACCCACATATCCCCTCCCCTTAGAATGCAGTCACAGAAGGGGAGGAGGACCAGGTCAGGCAAACAGCTGGAAAGTTCTCGAGGGTTTGGAGAAGGCTGTGGGGCTTGCTGGGGTGAGAGTCAGTCTGCAACATCAATATGGACCATTTTCTGGGCATTGCTGTGGTGTCCCAGTGCCTGACACAGAGTGAGGACTCAAACCTATTTCTTCAAGAATGAAGGCAGAAATCTACAGGGCAAATTAAGAAGTGGAATGGGGACATGTGCTCCACTCTTTGTTTTCCAGGAAGGAGGAAAAAGTATATTTGCTGTGGTCATCAGAGTTTGTTTACGGGGCTTCTCTTACTTCTAACAGGGGAGAGAAGATATATCTTACCACCACTTAGTTCTAAATGTGCTTTTAAAAATAGTAATTTAATTTCTACTGTATATTGAGTGATTTCTTCTAAAAACAATATGAGTCCTTTAAAACAGGTGAGCCACAGAGCAGGCCTGGAGTGGCTCTTCAAGATGGGGCTCTGGTGAGGGTCTTCTGTTGGGAGGCTAAGGCACATCTTTAGCAAGGATTCCCCAGATTTCTCAGCCCAAGGGAGGGCACCGAGTTTACCCAAGTGCTACACACTCCAAAGGGTGCTTTGAAAAGGTTCTGAGGAAAGGTGGCATCTCAGAGGGCCTGGGGTTCCTGGGGCAGGAAGGGGTTTCTGGGACAGGAAGGGGTGCCCGGTGCATGCAGCCAAGTGTAGGAAGCATCTCCCCAATGAGCAGGGAACACATTGGTTGCCTGAAGCTCACTCTGTTGGTTCTCAAGACTTGGGAACTTGTCCAAAGTATTCTAAACATTTTGGTCTCATTGGCTTGAAGAAGGATATTACACCAACTCTTTCTAGCCAGTCAGTTTCATCTGAGGGAAGAGAGGGAGGGTGGTCAACTATCAGGAGAGAAGTGACCTGCCCAAGGACAGGGGGAGGTCTCTCTAAAGGAAACTGTGGTTCCAAACCACTGTGCGCTGAGTAGACCTTCTGTAGCCTGCGTGTGTTCTCCCTGTTTAGGTATTGTTTCTTCAAACTGTGGTGATAATGGGGGAAGCACTTTGTAAATTTGGAAATATTATTATTGTTGAGTCTGCTGTCATCGTTCACTGTTGCTTCAGTTGGCTCATTGGGACGGTGTGGGAGGTGGAAGCAGTGCCCTCCCACTGCTACACGCCCTCTCGTGTAGACTTAAGCCGCCTGTGCTACCTGTGCAGACGCTTCCCACCTGGTTTGGATCTGTCTTTAGGATGAATGACTTCCGGGTCAGTGAGGCACTATTTTATCTAGTCATAAGAGGAGGAAATTATTTTTCCAAATTAATAGGGAGCATGGGAGTAGGATGGTCAGAGACTTGAAATACTGACTATAGCCTTATGTGTCCTATGTGTACCCCATGGGGTTTGGTTTCTATCTTGTTCTCTTTTTTTCTTGGTTTTGTTTTAGTTTTATCTCTTTATTTATTTTGAGTGACAGCCAAACACACACAGATACACGCGCACACACACACACACACACACACTCCAAACTAAAAGCCAACAAACAATTGCTCAACTCAGGAGAGCAACATATCAATTGATTGGGAAATAACCGGTTGCTCAGCTATTTTAATTGATGGAATTAAAAATTAGCCTACTCAGGTATCTAACCCAACTGACAAATTTGGGTCAGTTTAAAGCCCATGATGATAGATGGAAAGGCCCAGAATTGGGCTGGTGTGGGCTGTTTGGGGGAGAAAGGCCAGATGTTGGCACTCAGGGAGCCAGGGCAGGAGGCCTGGTGGGGACTGTTGTGACACAGGCATGCAAAGGTGGGAGGGTGCTGAGACCTGGCCAGGCCAGGGTGTGGGCTGTGTCCCTTGGGGGGGCAGTGGTGGCAGTACCACCTGATCACCAGCATCTCATGGGGGAAGAAACCAAATTACCACCACCTTCCCCTCATTTAATAGATGAAGATACTGTAAGCCTGAAGGGTGAGGAGACTTGCCTTGAAACGCCTAACAAACACACAAGTTGGGGAGAACCGCTATCCAGACCTGGAATTCCATAATCTGTTCTTGTTTCTGAAGCTTGGCAATGTAGAGAAAACTTGAGGGCACAGCGACTGAACATCACGGTAAAGCTGTGCGTGCCACAAAGTGTTCCCGGGATGGCGCTTTCTGCAGGTTCCTTCCCTGCTCCGGCCCTGCCCTGCCCGGCCTCGTCCCAAGGCTCCTGCCAGGCTGCTGAACGTCCTCCATGTCAAATGGCTGTGAAACCTGCTGCTGAGAATGTTTTCTCAGCTCCTTGAGGGAGGGACATGACTTAACTTCTCCACTCCTAGGCACTGGGCACTTGCGCCCACTGTGAATAGCAGAAGCTTCTGTTTTTAATCCAGGCAGCCTTTGTAAACAATGCAGCCCCCTAGACCCTGAGATGGAATCCTTCCCATTTTCTATTTTCTTTTGTTTATCTGAAGCATCCTTGGGAATTTTACTAATTTCTCTTCTACAGTCTGTTTTCAGACAGCCCATAGAGCCCTTGTTTATCACCAGCTGTTATTAAGTTTTACCAAAAAGTAGTTTTTGGGGGTGGAAGGTGCTTAGAGAGCACCTAGGTTCAGAGAGGGAAAGTGCTTCCTGGAATGTCACACAGCTACGAAGGCATGAGAGCAGAGCACAGAACTCCTGCCTACTTCATAGTCCTGGCATTTAAAAAAAAAATGTATCTGCCCATATTTGTGAGGATGTTTTTGGCTTCAAGGAAATGACGATGTAACTCAATGTCACTGGGGGTCCAGAGGCAGGGTGCGCTCTGGGGCCAGCTTTTTCCATGGCCCCAGCTCCGGTTTCTCCTAAGAGCCCTTGGATGCATCCTCTTTGTGCTCTGGCTTTGCTTTCGAGTCACTTCCCCCATGGGGTAAAGTTGCTGTTAGTCCCTGCCTGCCATACCTTCCTGCCCAAGATATCCCAGGAAAGAGACAGGGCAGTACCCCAACATTCCAACAAACAGTCTTGAAATCCTCCCTCATTGTACCTCTTAAGCCACATGCCCCTCCCTAAACAAGTATCAGGGCAGAAATTCCCACCTGCAATGATTGGATTAGGTCTGGCTCCTGAAGCAACCAGTAGCAGGAGAGTTGAGATGCCCCTGCACCAATCAGGCCCTCCATTGGAGTAGGGAGGAGCTTCTGTCCCTGAGGCACATGGGCTGCCTGAGAGAAGAGTATATTACTGAAAATAAGAAAAAGAAAAAGAAGATGAGGAGGAGAGGATAAGAGGAGAAGAAGGGAAGGAGGGGGAAGAGGAGGAGAAGGAGGAGGATGATCTATTGGGAAGCTGGGAGAATGGATGCTGAGGGAGCAATGAGCGTTATTCACTAGAATTTTCCAATACTGTACTACAAACTCCTTGAAGACCTTTGTTGTGATCAAGGCTCTATCCACAGTGCTTGGCATAGAAGGATTTGGACATGAAGAACCTGGGAACTGGGGACACTCCCAGGTACAGGTCCTGCCTAGTGTTCATTCATCTGCTTATTCAGTCAACCAGAAAGAGCCAGGCATGGGAATTTAGCTGCGCAGACCCTGTTGGTGGCTGACCCAGTTCCCCTTTGCTGGTACTGCTGTGAGGGTTGGCTGCTGACAGCTCACAGCGGCCTTCCCCTCTCCAGAAAATTGTCCTTGGCTGATAAGACCTAATTGACCCAGTTATGTACCATGACCTGCATCCACAGGACAGATCACAGCCACCAACTGACTGATTCTGTCCAAAAGGCCAGCCTGGAGAGCCCTTCCACTGTGGACCAGGCCAAGGCTAGATGTCACCTTGGCTCCTTCCCTTTTCCATCCCACTTCCCTCACTTCCCTACAGGCTCCTGCTGAGACAACTGCCTCAATACATAACATGCACCTAAATCCCCATCTCAGGTTCTGCTTCTAGGGAACCCAATCTAAGACAACCATGAATAGCCTTTACTGTGGACAGGCTGACCCTTACCCATGAATTACAGACACGCAAGATATAAATCACAGGAAGAAAGCAGACTAAATGATATAACAGATGACCAAGTAAAGAAATCTGCCTTCATTTTACATATGAATTGGTATAACCATCACTGACAGTAGTATGTCCAACCAGAGAAATCAATAATTAGGCCAACATGCTTTTGGCATCTCTCTGCAGCATTAGGACTGGCGATTAAGGGCAAAGAGTAACTAAAAGTCTTGTCTCCCAGAAGCTCACAGTGCCGTTGGAAGATGTCAAAGCTGAGAGGTGGGTGAAAGGAGCAGCAGTCCTGCGCCAGGCAGACCTGGCTGTTCCTCTCCCATGGTGCCATCCCCTTCCCTCCCTGGGAAGGGCGTAGGGAAGAAGGTTTCCTGGAGACCTAAGTCCTTCTGGTATGAGTATCCGCCACCTAGAGAACATATGCGCTTAAACAAAGGCCTTGATCTCTGCAAATTAGTCATGATTCTTTTGGCTGAAGGAGAAAAAATTCACCTCAAACCAGCCAACTCTAAAAGGGAAATTTATTGGCTTCTATAACTTGGAAACATGGAAGTGGGTAGTAAATTGAGGTAAAGCTTAGTCCAGGGTCTCCGAAGATGTCATCGGATGTGTCAGTCCATTTCTGTCTTTCCACCTCCCTCTATTGCTCTCCTCTCCTACATGTGGAAACCATGGCCACATTCAGCTTCAGGGCTACTTCACAAAGTTAGCTGCCTCAAAGTTTAGAGGCTTTTACATTCCCTTAGAAAGACACTGACTGGTCTGATTTTGGTCCACACTCTCGTCTTTAACCAGCCAGTGTGGCAAAGGAATGAAGTATTATGACAGTAGGTCTGGGTCACATGCCTACACTACGGGGTATCCTCACTGTGGTCCAATGGAGGGGAGGAGAGCTGTTCCTCAAAGGAATTGAGACACTGTTTCCATAAAGAGGGTACAAAAACAAGAGATGTCTTCTACATTCAGTCCTCCTATTTACAAAATGTAGAAAGTCATTTCTAGTCCCCAGGGTGACTACAAAGGTTAAACGCTATGAACGGGTCAAAGCACTCACAAACTGCGATGTACAACACATACTAGTCACTGTATTTCTTCTTTCATCTGGTCTTCCTCTGGGTAACTTGTGGGCGATGGGGTTATCATGTTCTTTTTTTCTGCTAACCTCAGGTCTACTACTCAACAAGATAGTCTTCAAGGAAAATGAACCCCACGCTGGGCCTGGCTATTTTTCTGGCTGTTCTCCTCACTGTGAAAGGTCTTCTGAAGCCGAGCTTCTCACCAAGAAATTATAAAGCTTTGAGCCAGGCCCAAGGGTGGAAGGAAAGGAAGGCAGCCAAGGAGCTTACAAGGCAGAACATGGATTTTGGCTTTAAGCTTCTCAAGAAGCTGGCCTCCAACAGCCCTGGCAGGAACATCATGCTATCCCCCTTGAGTATCTCTACAGCTTTCTCCTTGCTGTGCCTGGGTGCCCAGGACAGCACCCTGGATGAGATCAAGCAGGGGTTCAACTTCAGAAAGATCCCAGAAAAAGATCTTCATGAGGGCTTCCATTACATCATCCACGAGCTGAACCAGAAGACCCAGGACCTCAAAGTGAGCATCGGGAACACGCTGTTCATTGACCGGGGGCTGCAGCCCCAGCGTAGGTTTTTGGAAGATGCCGAGAACTTTTACGGTGCAGAAACCATCCTTACCAACTTTCAGAATTTGAAAATTACTCAGAAGCAGATCAATGACTTTATCAGTAATAAAACCTATGGGAAAATTAACAACCTGATAGAGAATATAGACTCTGGCACTGTGATGCTTCTTACAAATTATATTTTCTTCCGAGGTAAGGTTTTTGGCATGTTGGTGTGGAAAGAATAGGATGACCATTAGACTTGGGTTAAAAACCTGGGTTGGCCACTGTTTGCTCTTTGACCTTGAATTCATATGTCATTTATCTCTCAGAACCTCACTTTTCCTATCTGTAAAATGGGTACCATGATACATAACTCATCATACAATTATCAAGATTTAAAGTGAAAATGTATGTGAAATGAGCTTTATGAAGTCTGTCATTTTCATGATTAGTGATTATCCTAACACAACATTGGTTATAGAGGTCGGAATTACATTTCGTTCCCATCTCTTAGATGAGAAAAAACATTCAGAGAGAGATTAACTGACTTACTCCAAGTTACAAAGCCCATCAATGAGAGTCAGGACTGGAACCCATTTCTCCTGGCTCTAGCACCGTGTGCTTTCCAGCACTTTAAGCAGACACCTGAGATGGTGATTGTGTTGATTATGGTGATGGTGATCACTTGGTGGGTCTTCTTATATATAATATATATGAATTCTCCTTATCAGACTTTATGTATTTCCCAGATCTGATGGAGAGAGACAGAAAAAAAGACGGAAGAATGTTTCCAAATTTCAGCTTTATCCCCCAACACCACACAGAACACATATACACAGATGGGTTGGCCAAAATAGGTGAGAATCAGAGGCCAACACCCATCAGTCCAGATAAAATCACTGCTGGAGTGTCGGGAACATGGTACTAAATATAAAAAATTGAGGGTTCTCAAAATCCACAGGCAGATTGACGGCTAAGGAAGAAAAACGGTGACCACTGGCAGTCTAAAACCTCAATGTGCCTAAACCAGAGAAGGAAAAGGGAGAATATGGAATTTCCTGAAATCCCTATGTCCCCTAGATAACAATAGGAATAACAGTGAAAATAACGATGCTGATGACGACTAGCACCTACTCAACCTCACTATACACAAGCACTGAGCTGTGCTGCCTTATCCCGCTACATGTCAAGGCATCCCTATGAGGTAGCTGTCAATATCCTCATTCTACAAATAAGAACACTGAAGTTCAGGGAGATTGAGACACTTATCCAAGGTTAACCCTTGATAACCTTTTGGACAGGTAGATAGAACAGTGAAGCCAGGATTTGAACTCAGGGAGTTGGCCCTACAATGAGGACTCTCGGGTGACAAGTTTGAAAGACCCAGGTCTGAGTTTATGCCCAATAGGTCAAGGTATCTTCAGAGTCCAGGTACCCAGGCCTCAGTGTTCACTGCTCTTTGGCAAGCTCCCAACGGCAGCCTGTTTCACCAGTTTTCTTAGTTCCACATGACAGCAGCTCCTTCAGGACTGACTCAGATTAGAATCAAGCATTTCTACTCACATCAGACTCAATTAGCCGTCATTAATTGTAATGCAGTCCCCTCTGTTAGGACATACTCAGTGGGCTTTCTCAGGCTTAGGGGAACCTGGGCTTATGGTAGTCTGCTTTTCCCCTCTTAATTTAGCAGTCTAGTCCTGACTTCTTTGGGAACTAATAATTGCACCTGAGCCCATCTCATCAGAAATCTCCAGGACGTGGAATGAGGGCAAGGACTTCCCTGATACCCCAGAACATCCCCTTTCACCCTGAATCCGTGTGGACAGAGACTAGTGGTTAGTTGGATTTAGTCACCTTTTTTCCCATGGGATAATCATGTCATTTTGTCTTTCTTCAAACTAAGCCAGGTGGCAACATGAGTTTGATCCAAATGTAACTAAAGAGGAAGATTTCTTTCTGGAGAAAAACAGTTCAGTCAAGGTGCCCATGATGTTCCATAGTGGCATGTACCAAGTTGGCTATGATGATAAGCTCTCTTGCACCATCCTGGAAATACCCTACCATAAAAATATCACAGCCATCTTCCTCCTTCCTGATGAGGGCAAGCTGAAGCACTTGGAGAAAGGCTTGCAGGTGGACACTTTCTCCAGATGGAAAACGTTACTGTCACGCAGGTAAAGTGGGTGCCTAGCTCTCGCAGCTTTTTCCTTCTCCTGTTTTCCCTCTTATTTCTTCTCTCTGAGCTCTTACCTCATGGCCAAGTCCTCTTCTGGGCTCTATAATAAACTTATATCATGGTGAGAAGTAGACTGAGGAACAAATCACAGGAATAGAGTGAAGTGCTTGACTCTTTGAGGGAGATTCATCAAGACTGTGAGAGCACAGTAGATGGAGTCTCAGTGGAGGGTGGTGGTCAGGGAGGACTTCACAGAGGATATAGTATTTGAGCCAAGTCTTCAAGGTTGGGTGGCAGTCTGTATGAAAGGGGGAGGAGCAAAGGAAACGGCAAGGACAAACACGGGCTGTAAAAGAGAGCTGTGAGTTGTGAGGAGAATGATGTTGTCAACTGTGGTGTCACAACAGTTGAAGCTGTAGGGTGGCTGCTCCTCCACTGAAGAAGATGTTTCCAGTAGGAAGGGCAGGTGAAGCTGTGCAGATCTCGAGGGATGGCAGTGCTCTTGGAATGCCCTGGCACTTAGCTCCCCTCTTCCAGAAATGTGACTTTATTGAAAGCATTCAGAACCAGAATTTTCCTTTCTCGAGCCTGCAGCTCACTCTAGATATCACAGATGCATTCTGCAATGCCTCCAAGGCCATGTTCCGTGTGAAAGGAGTCACATCAGTTCAGTTCAGTTACCATCCACAGGTTCCCCCATGTTGTCTCAACATGGGGACATCCCAAAGGGACTGACATGTTTCAGCCTGCACTCTACAGAGTTTTAGAGTTCATAGGGATGTCTTGGGAGATATGGAGGTTTCTATTATTCAGCTCAGAGTGTCTGCACTGGATTTGCCATTGGGGGTAAAATCTGGGAAGTAAATTACTTGCGGGAGGAAGTTAGGAGCTCATACACAGTGGTTCACCCCGACACAAAATGGGCCTAATACATTGCGCATGTCGCTCACCGGAACTCTATACACGTCCACACGGCCTTAAACAAGAGCCCATCAACCGCGGCAAACAGGCACTGTTCCCTGGGCATGCCACATCCAATCCCTGGCTTCAGGCTTCCAATCCTCTTGTTTTGCACACCTTTACTCAAAGATGGAAATAGAACTCTGATTTTCTGGGCACCCGGCCAAGGCTTCTGGACCGCTTGGGACTCCACGAGAAGCAAAGTCTCACGAGGAACCCAGCCCGCATTACCTTAGAAGCTGGCATCTTGTAGAGCTCCAAGTGGTAGACTGCTTTCAGTGTCCTCCAGGCACCTTCCTTCCATTTCTATTGCCTGCTCTGCATCCCCTAATCCCTCTGGCGGAGACTGCTCCCACATCATCCCATGATTGGCCAGGCTTCAACCAGGAGGCAGGGGGGGGGGTGCGCAAGAAGCGTCCCCTCACACCAGGAATTCTGCCTACCCGCTGGATGACAGGAAATTCTACCTTCCCAAGAAAAATCCAAATCCTACTTGCAGGACACGGGCGCTTGCCCATAGCCAACGGAATTACATTTGGTTCAGAAAACATGATAAGGCAAATTATTCCTACCCTGTTCTGAGCTCATTGATTTCTGGGAGATAAGTGGTCAAGTTCTTTGATCTACAGGTGAAGGAAGCGTAGTCACGGACATCTCAGTGGTCCCGCTATGCGGGTGCACCGCAGATATCCCATATTTGATTCTTCGCTGCAGCGTCCCTCCAGATGGGAAAGACCCACTGAGAGAAAAATTACCTTTTCCCTAAAGAAGTAACCAGTCAACAGACACACACCAGTTCATGTGGGGTAGCAACATCGTCAGTAACCTTAGGCTCGCGATACTTCCACAATGCCATGCTGTGCACGCGAGGCAGACAGCCCCTGCTTTGAA